AGCAGTAATTGTGGAGACAACCCTAACCCTAACCCATGATAACTGGACCAACTGACAATGCTAAAGTTAGCTTGAGAATGTTTAGAATGAAGAGTAATATCTGACCTCAAATTACAAAACATAAGGCCAATAACATTAGACTAAATGAGAAAATGATGTCAGGTAGATAAGCATAATATTTCCAACTGGTTGTACTGCATGATAGCAGGTTCAACCCAATCCAGATCCAGAGATGCTGTTGTGTGGCTGACTGTGCCCTGAGATGTCCTTATGGTGGAGGTGCAGAATTATTATATCACACCAAAAATCCCCCAGAGCATTATCACAACCAATAGTTACAAACTTCTAAATTCCCTCTTCTGTGGTTTCACCCAAACATTCCAAAATCACACAAATCACAAGGTCGGGTCCAAATGATGTCGTTTTCCCTTCTCTGAACGCGACCTAATGCGTCACTTCTAACCATCCAATGTAGGCCTGTGATCAAACAGGCACGCAAACAAACTGTAAGGAAGCATTCAAGGCCGTTCACTTCGTGTAAGTCCTCCGGCAGAGAAGCCAGCCCGTCATGCAAGTGAGAAACCACACCCAAACCTCAGGAGCTACATCTGAGGCCTAGAGCCACAGCAGCCAAGTGACAGACTCAGTGCCTGACTCAGTGAGGCCAAAGGTAACAACATGTTATCAGAGATGTTAATGAAGGTCTTAATACCCTACATTCTTGAGTTATATATTTAATTATACCTCCAGAAAGATCAAACTGCACTCTGCAATGCCTCCACAAACGTAATGACCTGCTTTCCACCCCATCATAATTAAAACACTGATTTCAACTGAACTCAATTACAAATCAGGTCTTTAAGCATTCCTTGTCCTCACTGACACCAGTGAACAAAAGCTATTTATCCACACAGGGGATGTTGTGAGTAGCTAGTACTGTGTAGCTGGCTCATTTGGCCTAATTTCCTCGTCAGATCGAGCACTGGTGTGAACTACCGTGCTATGATTATGTAAAGATGGGTATAAAGAGCAGTTTAACTGCATGCCCGGTGGGATCCATCTTGTGACACAGTGGGCCCAGAAAAACTTTGCACTCTCCTTCATCTTTTATCTCAGCTGCTCTCTCTTTCTCCACCTCAGTGTTTGTTGTAGCTTCTTGGTCACAATCAAGAGTTTTGATCAGCAAAGAAAGAAACAAGGAAAAGCTGGGGGACAACAAGGAGAAGTCGTTTCCAATCAGACTTGAGGGGCAACTGCCCTGAAATGAACCATAAAGTACAGAAAAACAACTCCGTGTCACATCCCAACTTTCACTCCCGATGCATCGCTCTTTCAGCTCAGGCTGAAGACATGTCCAGACATTACAGCTGAAGGAATGACAAGAATGAGAGACATTCCGGGGCATTCCCATCTCAATACAGTCAGCTCTGAATGAGAAGGCCACTCCCTGATTTACAGATCAGAGAACGGAACGAATTACCAGTCACGACCCTTCTTACTCTCAACTGACCTTCCGTCCAGTAGAAAAACTAGCTTACACCATCGAGCCCCCTCTTCTGTTTGGAGCAACACAGTAGCGCTCTTAAACTAATGTGATAGATACAACTTTCTCCAACAAAACCTACATATTTGCAGATCTCTCACAATATACCACTCTTAATTACAGTAAAGACCATGCTAGTCCCATGGAATATGTAATAACTGGGTAATAAGGAAAAGGAACCCATTACAATAGCAGAGAGTGATGCCTCTGCTGCTTGCGTCTGGACAAAGTTTGGGTGTTGGAATGCAGCAGGAATCTAAACTGCAGTGGGTTTAAATGTGCACAACGTGAGTTAACTGCAGTGTGTGTGTGTGTGTGTGTGTGTGCTCATGTGTGACTGAAAGAGAGCAAAAACAAAGCTTATTCAACCTTCTAGGGAAAGACAAATAAGGAGCGAATGGTTATTTCTGTGTTGTTACGGTAATGCTGAATACAAAAAGAAATGTGTGACACACACAATAAAATGAACAATGCTGCCCCATACCAACTAAATGCAAGCACTGTCGAATGCGTATATTGTCGAATTATATGTGTCGTGTGATGTGTCAAAATAAACATGTGGAAGCAGAGAGGCCGATAGAGTGAAATGGATTCTAGAGAGCACACTGCCTCAGACGGATACAGTACATAACAGGCACATCTGCCAAGACAAGCAGGCGAAAACCACTCTTCAACACAACAGAGCCTCAAAAATAGCATGATGACGCTGGGAGAGGAAGAGATGTCTGTAATTCAACAAGGAGCCTATATAGTGATTAAGTCCCATGTAAAAAATGCAAACACACACCACCCACTCTCACTGCCTCTGTCGCAACACTTCCTGTCAGAGCAACTGCTACCTACAGCCAAATAAGAGAGGAGACGCCAAAGATCTGCGCAGCAAACAACGCACTTAACCCTCATCTTAATCATTTAGAAAAAATCAATATTTAGTTCATGGCAACCAAGGAAGGGAAAATGTTTATCTAAGGCTGTTAAACCTCTACAAATCTCTTTACAAAGCAAATAAGCTTTAAAAGCAAAATTGCAATTCCTGCCATGAGCAAATAAAATATATTGTTTGTGGAAACTCAAGAGGAAGATGATCAAACAGAGCGACACCCTCCTCTCTTTACAGTCACCATTCCAGCAGCGGCTGAACTCCCCATAGGTCACGAGGCCACCCCCGAGCTGCCATACCACATCCCAACCCCCCTTAACCATGGCAACCACATCACATGACCGTCTCCCATGACCAGCAACCACTGACGAGCCAGGCCGTTGGTAAACCTGAACACAACCGATTTCCTGTTGGCTGCAACTGAAAGCCAATAGATTGGAAAAAAAAACACAGCCTAATTAAATTAGTTGACATTTAAATTTAAAAAAAGGAGGCTGTAGTTCAAGTATGCAAAAATGTGAATTACAGAAACTTGGTTAACAACTAAAAGGCTGAAACTAATTAAACCCACAATGACAACATTGGAGCTGAATTGTGCAACAAAAAAAAAAAAAAAAAAAAAAAAAAAGGAGCAGGAAGTTAAACTTTCACCGTCTCTTTCTTTAGAACGAGATAGATAAAAAGAAACAGGAACTCGACGGGCCCCTTTCTCTCAGATAGTTTTACAGCAAGAGGCAGAAGCTGCGCAGCAGTCGGCGATGGGGTGTGTTCATGTACAGAATCTGGGACATAGCTGTAATAAACATCTCCCTCTCATCCACCACATGTTTAACTTGTCATTTGTTTTGTTTTATAAAGGCAGAGTTAAACTTCAGCTCTGTTCACGTCTAATCACACAATCTGTATCAGAGCCTTGGAGACAACGCACTATCAGTTCTGGCATTACATAGATAACACAGCTGTGAACTAGCTGGGGCTCTACGGTGGTTGTGAGGAAGATCTGAAACCATATATTAAGCTGTAGTTCAGCTTTGGGGAGTGAGACAAATACACAGTCTGTGTGTGTATGTACACGGTTGTCCATACTCCCACAGGAAAAATCTGCAAATACTATAAAAAGATTGTTGTTTACACAGTAGGGCTTGGCTATATCAGTGTTTATCATCGTTCAGTTAAACAGTTTTGTGATGCTATGGATACAGACAGCGTGTGTTATCATTGACCAAAGTCTAAATTTATGATTTAAGCGCTAATTGTAACTTAAGAAATAACAATTAGTAATCACATGAGGACTGTTGTCGAATAAAATGCCCAGTTCACTGCAATAAGCTAATATTTGATTATATTTACATAGGTTTTGTCAAACATTTAATATATATCATTATCATAAAAAAGTATTTTCAATACAGAAATATTGATTTCAACCACGCGGCCCAGCTATAATGTACTCAACTATTCGATCACACCTGTTGGATGCAATATGCAATGCCCCACGGTCACATGGCAAAGCCAAAGAACACATATGATACAACCGCTTACTCCGGCTAACGGGCACAGATACCCTACTCGAGCCCTGTGAAGGACAGCGACAGGCAGACACATATGCTCCGACTCATGAAGTACATACCATAACGCAACACATATACAGTACAACACATGTCCAGCACATATCCACCCTCAGAAAGACCCCGAGCTCTACGTGAAGCTCGTCGCCATACCGCCGTCGACCAGCCAGCCGGGTGCTAGGTCCTCCCTCACCGCTACACCCACACACTGCACCCAGGCTGAAGCACTACTACACCCACGCAGTCAAAGGAGACATTTCTCTCTTTACGCATGTTAGATTGGCGAGCAGATAAGAGGCGTTGTCATCTTGATTACGTGTTGTTGGTGAATACGGCTAAGGTTCATCAAAGAGGCAGCAATGACGAATCTCCTCAGGTACTTAACAGTTATCTTCACACAAATTCCTGCTGTTCGGGCGCATCGCATGGGCTCCGATAGCCTGACAGTAACCATGCGGAGATTAGCAGTGTCATGTAAACACTGCAACGGGCTAACAGAGGTGAGTTACAGACCATGTAAGCACCTCGGTCTGGTTTGTGTCAGCCTTTGATTTGGTACAGTCATCAGTGGTCTCAGGTTTACCACACAGAAGTAGCGTTGGCCACAGAAGAAAAAAACAAATTTAAGAACAATCTATGGGTCAAAATGGCTTTCATGTTAACTTTAAGGTGCCCAGTGAATTTGTCAACATAAAACTCAAACACATTGTGTTTTCCTATTGTACTCTTACTACATGCGAGTTATCCTCAACTATCAAGGGCCTCATGTAAGTTTGTGTTTAAATCATGTTACTGTAAATGATACACACAACTGAACGTTTACTTTTTGACCTACTGTGTTACTGTGGGTATTTCTAGTAGTCCCGTTATTTGCGTGTATAAACTCTAGTCCAAACTGCTCACGACAACTTCGTTTAGGATCAGCAAACTGCCAATCAGCCATTGTGGTTGAAACACGTTGAAACACGTTGAAACAAGTGGATCACGTCAACAAAGAGAAAACACAGCCTGGTTTCTTTTTTTAAAAATGCAATTTGTATTAAAAGTCTTGTTTGTTTTGTTTAAAAACAGACAGCCCGTTGTTACAGGGCGCGTCTGAAATTAAAACGTACAATCAGGTTAGATTTGTCAACGGTACATCATCACATTTCCTGTTAAAAACAACAAAATAAACAAACAGAATTTGATTTAAGTGGTCTGGAAGGTGAGCGTTTGGTGTTGTTATCACGTCCACGAAGATTCCAGTACCTGTGCATTTCAAGAGATGGGTTTTGGCCAGACTAAGTAGACATTAAAAAATGAACACCGTAGACTTCAAAAAGGCCAACGTAAAACATACAGAACACCGCCATTCCATTAACAAAAAAGCCTATCGTAGTTTCTTTTTAGCCTCCACCCCTACGAGATTATCCAGGAGAACAGTTCACTAAATTGTGGATTGCCGTGTAGAAGGGTTCTTTTGGTGATACATGTAGGTTGGCACTAAAATCTGAACAGCTGACTTGTTTTGGAAAGGCACTCGACACGAGGGCGATCGGGTCACCGGCCCCATGTCACTTAAGTTAAGGTCCTCTCTTACACTGAAGAGACGATGGAGGAAAAAAAAAAAAAAAAAAGTGGCACTCATCATGTTTACTCCACCAGCAGATAAGTGGTGTCGTCTTATTTTGATAAAAATAAAAATAGGATTTGGAGTGTTGTGGAGCATTGCTCCAAAACGGATTAGGCAGAGATATCCCCCAAATCTTTACCAGCCCCAGACCGTGCAGTGTCTTTAACAAAATATACTCTCTGTCTCCTTATACAGAAATATCCATTTACGAGTGTCTAAGTGTTGCCCTCCATTTCTTTCCGTTGGGGTTTAGTTCCAGGTGCGAGTACAGTTGGAACTGGTGAAGGGGGTGCTGCTGAAACTTTGGATCTGACACTGCGTTGACATCAATGGTGGACACTGATCGTGCAGCAAAAGATACTCCAACCCAGCAGAATTCCTGAAGAGTGGACCCCTCCCTCTGAGTCTCAGTTGCTCCCCTCCTCCTCCTCCTCCTCCTCCTCCTCCTCCTCTCGTCCCCCTGCAGCATTCCTCCCCGTGTTTTCCTCCAAGGCCAGGGTGAGACACGAAGAAGAGCTCAACAGTACACACTTGCTGCAACACACTGCCACAAACGAGAGATAAGAAGAGTCATGAATGAACTACAACAACATCTGACCAAAGATAAAGAAAGAATTAAAAACACACTGAAATGAGGCTGAACTCTGGGATCTGGATGTAGGTCAAACATACATAGGAATCTCCAGACTCCTGCTAACCTGTTTAGCAACTCCAAGCTGTGGGTGTACAGAGTGAACCACTAACTTTGGAAACCTATTTAAGTCACTCTCGTTCTGCAACGACACTTCCCTAAATGTGCTCAGCAAAACAATAGACTGCAAGTGTGTCGCTGTATGTCACCAGTAAAAACTAACTATGAGCTTTTATGAACGAGAAGTGACAATAAAAAGGCTAATATCTGAAGTGAAGCGAGGTTGAGCATACATCCGGTATACTTAATGTGGACATGTGTACAAGTAGCGGTTAATATCACTTATGTCAGCTTTACATCTCCAGTGTGTGGTGTGTCAACTCACCATTGCAAACTTAAAACCGAGCAAAGAATACAACTTTATGGCTGTCCTCGTTCTTAAAGGATGACACAAGACGAGCAGCACTGGTCGTCCCCGTTTGGTGTCGAGGCATAGTTCATCTGTCGGACTATCTCCGCGAACAGTTCGTCCACCGACGTCTTATTTTTGGCTGAAGTTTCGATGAACGGGCAGTTCCACTCGTCCGCCAGTGCCTTCCCCTCAACGGACGAGACCTCCCTCTCCCCCTCCAGGTCCACTTTGTTTCCGACCAGAATCATCGGCACTCTTTCGTACCTTTTCACCCGAATGATCTGATCCCTCATCGGTTTGATGTCCTGGAAGCTCTGCTGGTTCACCAGGCTGTAGACCAGGATGAAACCCTGGCCGTTCTTGATGTACAGGTCTCGCATGGAGGCGAACTGCTCGGTGCCCGCCGTGTCCAGGATCTCCAGGACGGACGGAGAGGAGTCCACCTCGATCTCCTTCCTATAGAAATCCTCTATCGTGGGGTCGTATTTCTCTATGAAGGATCCCGTCACGAACTGGACGGTTAACGCGGATTTACCGACCCCTCCGGACCCGAGAACCACTACTTTGTACTCTCTCATGGTTCCCAAAACAGCCGACACTCCGCTGTGAGCCCGCTAGCCGCCCTGCTGGGTTTCAAACCGCTCACCGTTGTGTCTCCGCCAGCAGTTTTGTTCGGGCTCTGGTCGGTGGATTACGGGGCGTGGTCGTCAACTATCGCCGTTCAGCGGGTAAATACGCTTGTTTCGGAGCCCCACTCAGCATTTGTATTGTGGCATGTTGAGTTCCCGACGAAAGCCAAGCCGGTTGTTGAGCGAGCTTCCCCCGTTTACGTTCAAGTAGCCACTGTGCGCCCGTTTCAGCCTCTGATAGAGTCAAGTCACACGTAACTAGAACCATCTACTTCCTGTAGGAGCTTTCAAAATAAACGTCTAATGGCCGAATGTGTCGTGACCATTGCTCTGCAAAATCAACCCAGTTACGGTCGCACGACTTGTTTAAAACAACAACTCAAAAACTATTTTTCTAAGATTGTTGCGCATTCGTCTCGCTAATAACTACGTTATATAATAACTACAGCCTTCCCTCTTGAACGCGAGCCATTTCCTTTCCGTTATAGTCCTTTTCTAACTCAAGCTAACTTGACGACGTGAACTTTTCTGTACTTCCTGCCCACACTCCGCACGCAGTCTGCGTCCCACGTCACTCAATAAATACTCTCCAGTGTTTAGTTAAAGGTGCAGTGCGTCTGCAATCGCACAGTCAGCGCTGCTGCTACACTCCAGCTACCCACGCAGACCTGCCACACCTTAGTGTCGACATCACTGATCCTTGGGCTTACTACTGCTTGACTCATGCTCACACAATTTACTGGAAAGGCCTATCTACTGCAATATGTGCAGTCAGCTTATTGCTTAATCCCCAAACACAATATGGGTCTTTGGCCTACTTCATGCCTCTTGAACTGTGGGTCCATCACATTCATTTCAAACCCCCAAAGATACCAACTAAATCAACCTGAATTACAAAAACAACAACTACAATATTTCAAAATGTAAAGGGAACCCCAGGAGTTAAGATGTGGATTTTTATCTTAATGTTGCCGCTGTTAAAAAGTATCAGCAAACCTAAAAGGTAGGGAAGTGGAAGTGACTCACTTTATCCTGTGAAGCATTACACCACATATTACACATTATAGAGTTTTTGTCTTACATGTCCCCACATTCTTGTGCTTATTTGGTTTTCTTGTTGCAACCCAGTAGTTACCAGATTCATCTTCATTTCTTTGTTCACTGACTTGTGCCAATGAGCCTCTTTTCTGTAGTCAGTTAAATCAATATCTGATCCTCATGCAGACCGACCAGGAAGAAAAGTTGTTTTTTTTCTCTTGGTTGTCTCTCAAACTATTCTGAATCTGGAAGTTATCCCCGACTCATGAATTGTGGTGTGATCTTTAATCCAAGTCGAAACCACGTGAAACATTTGTAATAAAATAAATCATTTAAGTCATCACATTTCTCAGTTTATGTGTGTGTGTGTGTGTGTGTGTGTGTGTGTGTGTGTGTGTGTGTGT